ACATTAAGAGATTGATAACAATAATAATAAAATAAAATTATTGTGAGCATTTCCACAGTGTAGTGGTTATCACATTTGTCTCACAAGCAAAAAGTCCCCAGTTTAAAACTGGATGGAAACATGCTTAAGGCTTCCCCGGTGGTTCAGACGGTAAAGAATCCACCTGCAGTGCAGGAAACCCGGGTTTGATCCCTGGGTCAGGAAGATGCCCTGGAGAAGGAAATGGCTACAATACACTATAGTAAAAATTTTGTGAATGTCCTCTCTCTCTCTCTCAAAATTCCTTATTGTACAAATTTCATGCCTTTCCCACCTGCACTAAGACTTGTCATGTACTGTGGCCATTAAATCTTTTTTTCTTTTTTTATAATTCTTTTAAAAGGATATATACATTTATTATTTTATTGACCATGCTCCAATGCATGGGGGATCTTAGTTCCCAGAAGAGGGATCAAAGCTGTGCCCCCTGCAGTGGGAGCTGAGGGCCTTAACCACTGGACCACCAGGGAAATCTCAGCCATAACTCTTGCAGTTTGAGGGGTGACAGCAAATCTAGCTCAAACTTCTTTTTCCTTCTTCACAATTTCACTGATAGAAGATTCATTCTTACCTTAGATCTTAGCAACCTCAGCATACACTTTTTCTTTCTGATTGAGACCTTTCCTTTTTCCCTTCAGGAGGCACTTTACGACTTCTCTTTGGTGTTCCCTCTATTGTCTGTATCACTATACTTTGGCCACCTGTTCCGAAGAGCTGACTCCTTTGAAAAGACCCTGATGCTGGGAGGGATTGGGGGCAGGAGGAGAAGGGGACGACAGAGGATGAGATGGTTGCATGGTATCACCGACTCAATGGACATGAGTTTGGGTAAACTCTGGGAGTTGGTGATGGACAGGGAGGCCTGGCATGCTGCAGTTCATGGGGTCACAAAGAGTCAGACACGACTGAGCAACTGAACTGAACTCTTGGGCTTTGGGGCCATTAAGTAAAATAGGGGTTACCTGTACATAAGCACTGCGATACTATGGCAATTGATCTGACAACAGACATGGTTACTAAGTGACTAGAAGGTGGGATACACAGGATGGTGTGAGAATTCATTATGCTACTCAACATGGCATGAAATTTAAATTTTTTGAGTTATTTTTGGACTTTTTTTGGACATTAAAACATTGACCATAGGTTAACTGAAATGGAGGAAAGTGACTACTGTAATGAGGAAAACTTCTAGGGTGATGAAAGTTTTCTCTCTCCATCTTTGTGGTGGTCACATGGTATACACATGTGTAGTGTCACTGATCAGTGGACTGTGAATTTTACTATGTATAATGTATATTTTAATAAAGTACACAAAACTCTTAATATGATAAAAGTTTGGCCTTTTAGGGGGGTTACGATGGTCCCTCTCAGGTTAACACAGGGATTTTCTGAGCTCTGCCCTCTGGCTCTGGGTGTATAGGGGGATGTGCTTCTTGTGAATGCTGGGAGTGGGATGCAGACCCAAGTTCGGGACACCTGTCACCTGGCCACTGGGAGGCGTGGAGCAGAGGGACATGGCACTCTCTCTCCACTGCACAGCGACCAGAGGTTTCTGCAGAGATTCAGCCTCTCCTGGCCCTTGCTGGCAAACATATGCCTCGCTGCTGTTTAAAGTTCCATTTCTTTGATGAGCGGTGAGGCTGAACTTCTGAAGGATGGTTACTGGCCATTTTCATTTTTTTGTTCAGAGCCTGATGTTTTCTAGGGCCCTCTTCCACAAACCACTTGTTAGTTAGCTAACCAGAAAAGAAAAATATATTTCTGACAAGCAAGCATTTCTAAAGGATCTCTTTTTGCAGCATAATTCTGTCTTTTCTTCTGTTTCTCCCAGGAGGTTTTTAGAGAGTATTTTTTTGGTAATGACAAAAATAACAATTATAAATGAAACTAAATGATCACTGAAGCAGGTAAAATAGCTCAAATCCCCCAAACTGGACAGCGTGTAGCATTCTAGAGGTCTCCCCAAAATTTTTATGTTTCCCAGAGGCTAAGTAAGGGTCCCTGTATAATATGCTCAACCCCTTCTTCCAGATCTACCCTGCACACACACACATCAACACTTGCACACATGCATGCATGTATACTCACTCACACCCCACCCCCCAAATGTTTGTGAGTTTAGCAGACTAAAGATAGGTGGGGTGAGGAAGAGGTGAGGAGACAGAGGTGCTGACAGCCCCCATCATTCAAGCCACTCTTCATCTCACCAACTCTCTCTGCCCTTTACTCTTCTCCACACTCCTTCCTCAGGATGTAAATAGTCTTCCTGTGTGTCATGCCAGGTGATTGCCATCGTCTTTTAAGGCCCTGCCTAGAAAATCCCAAACTCCTCTCTAATGTGTTTCCTATTTTTTCCAAAGATGGTTTCCATTCTGAGAACAGCTCAAAGCCAGGTACTGAGATGTTCATGTGTCTTTAAATGTTATGTCCCCGTCGTCATAATAGAACTGCAGTGTCTCTCTGCTTCTGAGCAAATTCCAGGCTTGTTCTCCCAAGTCCTGAGCTGGGGAACAGCACTGCGCTATTCTGACAGTACAAATAAGGGTTCTGAGTGGGACTTGGAGCCAAGAAGGGTGAGCTGGGTTAAGACCATGGAGAAACTTCAATGCCAAGGGAAAGGATTTGGATTTGATTATCCTGTTCAGGGATCCATCAGATGCTTTAGAGCTGGGCTGTGACTGGAACAGAACTGAGCTTCTGGAATTTCACCATTTGGCTGCTGCAGAAGTAGCTGGCAAGGAAGGAGAATGCTTAGAGGGGGCAAGGCAAGGAGGACAGGGCTTCCCTTAAGCCAGAGGACAGATCTGGGAGACTTTTCTGAGCAGCAGCCACAGCCTCTGGTAATAGGGAAGGGGAGAGAGAGAGAGGAATTGATGACAGCCTGAGTGCCTAAGGGAGACACCAGCTCCTTCCTCCTGGTCTGGGAGAGTCTGTAATTTGCTAGGAACCATACTTAACATGAGATGGAACCAGCCCAGGACATGCACAGATCTGAAGAATCTATTAAGAGTGGCATTAACTAGACACACAGGACATCCGACAACAGCATCATCATTTGGTGAGTGTCTCAGTTCAATTCCCTTGGAGATTTCAGCTTTCAGCTTTCCATCCTACTAGGCTTTTTGTATTCCCCAGTGTGATACTTCTAGGCAAATGCATTTACATAGCTCTCTGCATCAAATAGCAAGGGCCAATATTTATTGCATTCTGTGCCAAGTACTGTCTTAAGCGGTTTCCATTTGGATAATTTATATATGTGTATGTATCATCATATATATAATCTTATCTATGCCTCACAGACCATCTTTCACAGATGAGAAACTGAGGCAGTCAAGTAACTTGTCCAAGGTCACACAGCTAGAGAATGGCAGAGACAGCAACACACCCAAGGGTGCTAATGGGTTTATTTCCTGAAAAGAACAAAATTAGGACACAGCAGAATAGGCTTCTGGGCCCAGCTCAGCAGCTGACTAGTGCAAGGTGAGGCAGGTCATCTTTTAAGTGTATGCTCTCATGACGGTGGACAGTGATGAATGTTCAAGACCTTAAGGTGATAGTTTCATAGATGTGTATATATATATCAAACCTTATGATACACTTTACTACGTACCTGTCATTTACATTTACTACGTGCCTGTAATTTACATCAATTACATCTCAATAAAGCTGCTTTTAAAAACTGATAACTGGACCGGGATGGGGAATACATGTAAATCCATGGCTAATTCATTTCAATGTATGACAAAAACCACTGCAATGATATAAAGTAATTAGCCTCCAACTAATAAAAATAAATGGGAAAAAAAAGGAAAAAAACATATTAAAAAAAATAAAATAAAATAAAAACTGATAACTATATGATGAAATTAAAATATTTGTAATTTCTTCAGAAACTCTTATGTGACCCCACTACAATGTCTGAGTATGATGCAGAAAATCTGTGATTCACTTCTGAATCTAAGTGCTATTTTGCTCAGAAGAGCAAAGTGTCCCCAAATTAAAACTTGGAGCCACAATGACTCAAGAAATGTTTTGTCATCTGGCATTACTGAAAATAGAACACAAAGTATGCAGTGAGGCTGTTTGTTACAATATAGCAATTTTGTTGAAGTAAAGGAAAATGATAAATATGATGGAATAAATATACAACAGTTTCTTAAAAGTGTACCACTTAAAGCCCTTTGGGGGCTTACACTCCACTCCATCTCTGTTCCAGAAACACTGATTATTTGAAAAGGTCAAATTGTTACACACCTTGAAGCCTTCACCTGTGCCGTTGTCTATGCCTGCAACTCTTTACCATTGGCGCCACAGGGCAGTCTGCTTCCCAACCTCTAGGTCTCAACATGAACATCACACCACACACACACACACACACACACACACACACACACACGACCTCCATGATCACTCAGATCTCAAGAGACTACTCCTCCTTCGTCTCAACATGAACATCACACCACACACATACACACACACACACACACACACACACACACACACACGACCTCCATGATCACTCAGATCTCAAGAGACTACTCCTCCTTCGTGGCTCTCGTCACAACTTGGACGTAGAGGTTTACCTCCCCACTGGCCCGTGTGGGCTCTGAGTCTCTTCTTGGATTTTCTTGCACTCCTCCCCCAGTGCTGGGAGGCAGAAGGTACTGTCCTGACACGTGAAAGCATGGATGCATGCCCTCTCTGGGCTCTGTGACCACACGAGGGGGGCGGGGGTGCCCTCGTGGGAACACTGTAAAGTATAATACGGAGCAGGTTGACCACTCCCTCACTTTCTTAGTTCTTTCTCCCCCTCGATGGGAGGCACCCCTGACCTCTGGGGGCAATCTCTTTGTGTGCAGGCTGAGTTCCAGGAGGAAGTGGGCTCTCGGAGACCATGCCCTCAAACACAAACATCACAGGAGCTTGGGTTTTGTCTGTTAAGGCACGATGGCAGAGGATACCTATCTCAATAGGAGTTCTAGGAAAAACTCTAGGAGTGCTGGCAAAACGGGCCCATGCTGGGGGTTCCCCAGAGTGCTTAGGTTCAGGTGCTCAGACCTGGCCAGTCTGTGAGCTCCTCCAGGGAAGACCCGGCCTGCGTCCAGCACTGTACTGCTGGTGCCCAGCACAGAGCTAGGCACACAGCGCGTGCACATCGACCATCTGTTTTGGTGCAACCAAGGAATTCCATCTTGAGAGCACTGGCTCTCTGCCAGGAACACATGAAGTACTTTATACATACTTGTCCCTATGACTCTTGACAATAAACCCATGAAGTCCATGTTCTTGCCCTCATTTTACAGAGGTGGGAATTGAGGTTCAGAGAGAGGTAATCTGCCCAAAGGCACACACCCAGTGAGTGGCAGGTCCTCTCCAAGCAGAAGTCCCTAGGGATAGTCAAACAATGGCCTGGAGTGACACCTGCTAGTTCAGGGGCCAACAAATTAACATCCTCCCATTGGAGAAACCCTGTGACCCCCTGCCCCCACCCCCACGCCGAGCACCAGCTTCACAGTTCCTGGCCTCGGTGCCATCTGGGCACTGGCCCTCTGCTCCTCTTATTACTCCGGTTCTCGTGGCTTCAGCTCCGCTCCACGCTCCGATTTCTCCTTTTGCTGATCTCCTGATGGCTGACTTCCTGATGGCTGTTCCTCCTCCCCCCCCTTCCTAAAGGCAGGTGTTCCCCAGGCTTCTCCTTGACACTATCCCCCTCCCTTTACATGCGCTCTCTCTAGGCCAGCCTTTGTCAATCCCATGGAGGGGGCTCTCAAATCCGCACGTCCAGCCCCTGGTGACAGCTATTGCTGATTCCTCCCAGAAGGCTGCTCCTGCTCTGAAACCTTCAGTGGCTCCCAGGAGCTGTCAGAAGAGGAACAAACTCACAAACTGCTCCCCGAGGCACTCAGGGCTCAACGGCACCCATCTCCACTTCTCTCCCCAAATCAAGAGGCCTTCATCCGGGCCAGAACTGGGCTCTATGCCATTATTCTGCTGTCCCTTCAGCAGGACCCCCTCCCTCCCACCTTTGTGCCAGGCAGCGCTCACTCCCTGGTCTAAGGCTCAGACCCTCCCCCAGAAGTCCTTCCAGACCCCTTCCCCACTCATGGGTGGCTCTCCCACTTCAGCTGACTCCATGGAGAACCTGTTCCAGGCAGCTTTGGCGAAAGCTACTTCTGTGCCTGCTTTGACTCTCCTTCTACCCTGGGTCACAAGGGGACTCTGATACTGGAAGTCAGGGAAAATGCCCAATCTATGCCTTTTAGTTTTGCCTCTTCATCGAGAAGTCTCCTCAGCTGCAAAGTGACGGGGGTGGAATTGGATCGGCATTTCCCTAGTTTCCAAGTACCACAATTCTTGCTTTCTCCTTGTGCCACCTGCACTATCATATACTTGTAAGTATTACTTACCTATTTATCTACATTTTCAACCTAAATAAAAAAAAAGGAAACTTTACACTGCTTTCTGTGACTCAAAAACCAATGTCATTTTCAATAAAGGTTGCAATGAAGAAAAAGTGAACCCTGAAAACAAACAGAACTGATAGAGTAAGAAATGTCTGTGCACAGCCTCAAATCCTCCCATGCATAATTTGAGGAAACAAATGTCCCAGAACTTCAAAGGCTTTGTCAAAGGGAAACAAACCTGGATGCTAGCTGAAGTGGTAAAGAGAGATTTTAATCAGTAGTAACTATTGCAATAGGGAAAAGAGATCAGCATGAACTGAACTCTGCTTTAATCTGCACAGAAATAGCTGGGTATTTTAAAGTGAAAATGAAGGAGACAGGAGGGAGGCAAGGGGTGGGGGTGGGGGGGGGGCGTGCTCAGGAGAGTCAGAGAAGTGGAAAAATTACCAAAGGTCAAGTGTAAATTCAACTAGGCCAATAGCCTTTGCTAGCTGACATTACCGAAGTTAGAATTCAATTGTCCCACGGAGATTGGAAGACAGAGGCCCTGTCCTCAGGGGCTGGCTGGAGCAGACAATAAAAATCTTTGGCAGCCTTGAGTTTTCTCAGGCAAGCAGTCTGGGGCAGTGTTTGTGTCATCTTAGGGAGGCAGTCTTGAGCAGTTAGAAACTGTGTTAGTACTTGTTCAAGCCTTTACAGGTCAAGGTTGAGGCCAAAGTTGAGAAAAGGGCTCTGAGGAGCCTGGCTAGAGTTTCATAAAGGAAAGAATCTTTGTCATCCTCTTCAGCTTAGATAGGTCTTCCCTGGTGGCTCAGTTGGTGAAGAGTCTGCCTTCAATGTGGGAGATTCAGGTTCAACCCCTGGATCAGGAAGATCCCCTGGAGAAGGAAATGGCAACCCACTCCAGTATTCTTGCTTGGAGAATTCCATAGACAGAGAAGCCTAGTGGGCTACAGTCCATGGGGTCACAAGGTCGGACATGACTGAGTGACTAACACTTTTCAGCTTAGATAAAAGGATAAAGAACAAAATGCATCATGGTGTGATGAGACTATGTGCCAGGTGCCTCAGGAGGTCATGGGGCAGTTACTGTTAATATTATCCCTACTAAAAGGCTGAGGAATCTAAGGCTCAGTTAAATCACCTGCTCAAGGGCAGGCAGCCAGATGTAGCAACTGGAACTTAGTTCTCACTGGTTCCAGAGTTCACAGTCCCATTCTATGCATCTAGGCTCTGTCCACTCACATAGGCCCTTCCTGCCACTGTCACTGGTTCAGACTACTGAATCTGGGTAAATGTGTGATGCAGGGCAGTGGTTCTCAGCTCTGGCTGCACACTGGAATCACCTGAGGAACTTGAAAAGGACTGAAAACTTGGGTTCCACCAAGAGAAGTTTGGATGCGATTAGTCTGGGGTGCATCCCGGACACAGGGATTTTTAGACGCTCCCAAGTGATCATGAACAGCAAGGTTTGAGATCCACTGTCCTTAGAAGCCCTCACAGTCATCATCCTATCTGATCCCTGCAAGAGACCCATGGGGGTGGCAGGCAAGTGGCCATGACCATGTTCTGCTGATGAAGAAACAAGTTCAGAGAGGCTAAGGCTCATCTAGTTAATAACATCTGGATATGGAATCAAGCTTGTTGACTTCCTGCTCTGAGTTCTCTGCTCTCCAGTGGTCTAATTGAGAGGGGGAAAGCAAGGTTTCCTAGAACAGAAATGAGGAGCTTAATTTCTCTTGGAAGTTAAAAGCCTTTTCTCACCCCACTGACTACCTGGAGGAGGGGATGGTGCTCGCCTCAGTTACAGGACCCAAAACGAGGCCAAGGGACCCCAGGCAGGTGAGCAGTGGTCTCCCCTCCCTGACAGCGTTCCACCCGCAGAAGCCAAGGCTGGGCTGGAGCAGAAGGCCTGCAATTCTCTGATAGTGCTGTCTGCCACGCCCACGTCACTGGAGTAAGTAGCGGTCCTGGCTCCCAGGCACCCACTAGAAGCTGAGCACAGCGGAAGGAAGTCAGGGTCTTCTTACCACACCAGGCAGGGAGGGTCCTGCTGCAGTCTCCAGAACCACTCTCCTAGCCGACTCCCCATGCCCACTGCGCCCACCAGCATGGACCAACCTCGGTGGTTCGGAGGGGAGGGGTCTCTGCCCACCTTTGGGAGACATGGGGGACGTCACTGCTCCATCTAACCGGAGTCATCTGGGGGGACGTCACTGCTTACTCTTGGAAGACTTCAGGGGTTCCCAGTTGTGGGTAGTTGAGAGATCACCATCCACAGCTGGGGCCAGGAAAGCACCACTGTACGCATCTGGAAGGGCTTAGGCTCACCTTAGCCTTGAAGATGCCCCGGGGGGTGCCAGCAGCTGCAGGGCCTAGAGAAATGCGGCCCCAGCAACCGTAGAGGGCCTGTACCCACTCCAAACCCCTCAAAAATGCAACAATACGAGGCAGACCTCAGGGCGCATCCCAGCCAAGACCAAACAGAGGACGGCCACACCCCCAGGGAGAGGCCGGGTGGGGAACGCGGGGCGCAGCCCTCCCAGTCCAACCCCTTGGGGCAGGGTTCCCGCCGACGCTGCCCTCCAGGCCACCCGATCCTCGAGCCGGCCAGACCCACGGACCCGCAGAAGGGAAAAGGGACGGCCTCGGGTCGGCGACACGGCCGTCGGAAGGCGCCCTCCACGCCGAAGCCGTCCTCCACGCCGAAGCCGTCTTCCAAACACCCCAACATGGCCCGGGGCGGCAGTCAGAACTGGACCTCCGGGGAGTCAGAAGGGCGGCCGGAGGAGCAGACGACAGAGGATACCGGGTGAGCCGGGGGTGTCGCGCCGGGCCGGGGCGTCGGGAGTGTCGGCCAAGAACCTGCCGCCGCGCCCCAGCCCACCAGGTCCAGGCGCCGCCGGAACCTCCGCGAAGGTTCTGGGCCTTTGTGGCGTCACTGTCTCCTTGCGGAACCTTCCGCCGGCGCCGAATAAAACCCGCCGCGGAGGAGCCGGCGGCTCGAGTGCGGCGGTGCCGGGCGCGGAGGTCGGCCCGGCGCGGGCGGGCGGGAGGGCGGGGGCGCCGGCGGCTGCGGCCGTCACCGTGACGCGCGGGCGGGCGGCGGGGGTGCCGGCCAGGGGCCCGGCGGGGGCGCCCGGGGCGCGCTGACCGTCCTGCCCGCCCCACCCCGCAGAGACAAGATGGTGAAGGAGACCCAGTACTATGACATCCTGGGGGTGAAGCCCAGCGCCTCCCCGGAGGAGATCAAGAAGGCCTATCGGAAGCTGGCGCTCAAGTACCACCCAGACAAGAACCCGGATGAGGGCGAGAAGGTGCTGGCCGGGCTCGGGGCGGCGAGGGCCGGGCTCGCGCGGGGCCCGCCGTCAATTATTCAACCCGCAGTTCGGGGGCTGTGAATTATTGAAGGCGGCGGGGAACCCGAGCCACGCTTGTTGATGAGGCGGTCGCCAGGTGCTGCGCGCACCCCGCCGCGGGGCCGGGCCGGGGCCTGGGGTGGCCCGAGGCGAAGGGGGCGCGGCGCGGTCAGATGGAGGGCACTTCGCCGAGCCCCAGGCTCGCCGGGTGGAGTATCGGGACTGGTGACCCCTGGCGACCCCCCGCTCGGCCCATTCATTCCTCTGTTCGCTCCACAAGTGTTTAGGGGGCGCCTCCGAATGCCGGGGAGGGCCGGGATGGAAACGTGGGGGGCCCGTTCTCCTAGGGTTTGCGGACATTCCTCTTGGAAAGGCAGCCAATACGCAGGGAAACTGAGGCACACGCGATCAGAAGTTGTGTTCCTGCTGGGAACGACTGGATTTGAATTATTCTTGTTCTGGTTTTCCCTGTTGATGCACAAGCCCTGGAGATGAATTTCTTTAATCTGAACCAGTACCTTGGACACCCCGGTGTCCCTCTGGGGAATGGCTGACTGAATTTGTCCTGTGTGCCTATCTCCTGCCTGATCAAGGTTGTCAGACACTGAATAATCACCTTTTCTTTATTAAACAGGGACACGGAGATTTTTAACCTGACACATCATTTTAAATGAACATTCCAGGTTTTCTGTGACCCGATGACCTGCAGTTGACCCAAAGGACTAATAATAGGCTGAAAAATGCTCTGCATACATAAATGAAAGGCCTAAATGAAACTTTTTCATCCTGTTCATAGGAGAAGAATCAATCTGCTTTTTATGCCCAAGGAGGCTCATTACCCACCAGAGTAGGTGATTAGAAGGATCAGGCATTTATCCTTGGGAAAGCTTATTGGCCTTATCACTCTTCCTCTGACTGCTCCTCTGACTGAAACTTGGGATGTCCTGGATGGTTGTTGGGAGGTGGGGTTTTGTAGTAGGTGATAGCGATGACACTTGGACCACTTTTGAAGCGGTAGTTCACTCGGCTGGCACTTAGACTTGCCTGAAACAGCGCTAGTATCAAAATACCTGTCTGTGGGAGCGTTTGCAAGCTGGAGAAAGCTGCCTAAGAAGGTTGGCTGGGTGGCAACAGTGATACAATGTTTATATTTAGCCACATGTGCCGAGTGTGGCTGTCACAAGTTTAAAATGCTATCCTGTAAGACCATTTGTCTGTTACTTGTGTTCTTTCTCATCTATATTTAGGTGGCTTACTGTAGCTTTGAAAGTCACTGGCTTTTTATGTAGTGTTGGTGATTCATAGATTTGCTCCCTATATTCATTGTAGGCTGTTTCTGAGAACATCCTTTAAGGAGAGCACAGCCAGGCTTCTAATTTCACGTTTCAGGGGCAGCGTGTGGGAAAGCCTTCTGACCTCGGTTCGGGTCAGATCTCAGAGCACTGTCCAAGCGTAAGTCATGGCTGTGTGCCTGCAGTTGGAGTGAGTCGGCTGCTGGTGTTCTGAAGCTTTTTTAAAAATTAGATTTGACTGGTAATACATTTCTGTAGGTGTTGCCTTGCATATATGTATACCTATCTGAGCAGAGGTGGTTGATTTGTTTTAAACTAATATTTATAACCAGGTATTGAATTAGTGTCATGTAAGTGAGGCTCTTGAAGTGTCTGGCAGGTCCCTTTCAGCTTTAGGGGGAGGTGGGGAAGGGGTTCTGTGATGTTTCAGGAATACAGTACTTCTCCCTCCCCACCGTCCATGAAGGGGATAAAGTCCTTTAATTTAGTTCTCTGCTAAAACAACTTCTAGGAGACTGCCTCTGACCATAGCGTGAACCACTTGTCCTCAACCTTCTTTAATTGTGGTTCCTGTCTGCTGCCCATATTCTCCAGAATCGAAAGGAGTTGAGGAGACTGGGGACCCGGTTTATAGAAACTTGACTGTAAGTTGCCTAGAGAGGACTCATGCGTTCACTCACCAGATAACCTCCTTTCTGGTCCTTCTATGTACTGGGCACAATGTGTAGGCCTTTGCTTTTTTGTGCAAGTCTATTTAGTTCTTGTCTACTTTATCTGCCATAGGCGGAACCTTTCTTTATTTTTTTCCTGCTGAGTTAGTCACTGTATTAACATCTCTTCAAAAATAGACTGAGCCCGTCCCTTGCTCCTTGCTCCAGGGCAGCGGGGAAGGCTGCTGGGCTGCTGGTCTTGGCTTCGTGCCCTGTTGTCCTGCGTTGCTAAGCGCTGGGTGCCTGTGTTTGTTGTCAGGTGCTCTGCGTAGAGTCTACTTCCCTGCAGCTGGTTTTCTGAAAGACACACAGGCAGCGTGTAGGTGAGCCAGTCCCTTTCGGGGGCCGTGACTGGGGATAGAGTCGTGGCTGTTAACCCCAGCTAGCTTTGGAGAGGAGTTTGCTCTTTTGGCCAATTTCACTGTAACTTTTAGTTTGAATGACAGACGTTCAAATTAAAAAATATTAAGAGGGCAGCACTGTACAGAAAATGTCAGGATATTGAGGAAAACCCACCAGGTACACCTGACCCTAAGTGCTGTCGCTGTACTTCCTTCCAGCCTTTTTCCAGGGTGATTGGACACAGGCATCCGGGCACATAAGCCTTTTTCCCTCACCAGTTAATACTTTACCATCAATGCTTTCTCAAGTAGCTGCATAGTCTCCAAAGCCATGTTTCCAGCTGCATAATAATTTTTTTAAAAGTCCTGTGGCAGGTACTTCCCTGGTGGTTCAGTAGTTAAGAATCTGCCTTCTAATGCAGGGCATGCAGGTTGTTGGATCCTTGGTCAGGGGACTAAGATCCCACATGCCACAAGGCTGTTAAGCCCACATGCTGCAACAGAGACTGATGAAAAAAACCCAGAACAGTCCTATGGCAAATTATTACTGTCTGAAAGGTGAGTTGGACAGAGTACTAGTCTCCTGCTGTGAGAACGGGGTCAGGCACAGAGCTGAATTAGACTCTGGAGTGCTGAGACCCCCAGGGTTGTGGGAGCCCCAAGCCCACATGAGATCTGCCCTTCTGGAAAAGGGCATTCCTTTTCCTTTGTAGATTAATTATCTGTTCTGTTAAGTCCAAGTGTCTTTTTCAAGTATCCATAATATTTGGTGAGTGTTTCTAGCGGACAGTTTCATGAAGTATATTTACCTAGTGCAGACCCCAGGGACTCTCTCGGGGCGGCCTGGCCTGTTTGCTTTTTGATCTTTTGTGCTACGCACCTCGTCCCTAAACCTCTTTTTCTGCTGTGGAAAGGAGTAAGTAGTGAGTGCTGCCTCTTTCTTTACATAAATGGTGTGCGAGAATCAATATATCAAAAGACTGAATTACCTTGAGTATGACTCTGATGTCTCTGAGCCAGTTTTTTAAATTACCCAAGTTGTTAGCTATTAGTAGCTATCATCTGTTATTTTTTATTACTTACTAGATCTCCATCTGCGATCTGCAGTACAGGAGAAAACCTAGTGTCTCTGTCATTTCCTTATTTGTATATTCAGAGCACCTTTTTTCCTATATGTTTTCTGGAGCCAGCTGCATTATAGGATGTTTATATAGACATCCATCTCACAGACTAAACCATACCTCTGAAGAACTAAGACTCTATCTCATTTATTCATTTCTCAATTCCCAGAATTGAGCCATTCATGTAACAAGTTTTCCCAAGTGCCTTCTACATGCTCGGCAGCATTTTAGGCTTGAGGATATGCTAGTGGACACAGCTGACCTAACTCCCTGCCCTCAGGGAACTGACATGGCAGTGAGGGACACAACCCCAGCAGTAATTGCTCAGGTGTTGGGGAACAGCCAGGAGGACAGTAAAGCACAAGGAGAATTTTGGAGAGCTCCTGGAGGCAGTGGTGTCAAGTTGAGCTTGTAGATGAAAATAAGAATTAGGTTTTACCCCAAGTGAAATGGGCCCCTTGGAAGGCGGGAGGCAGAGGGTTGACACTATTAGCTGGCAAGTTCCGGCTGCTGTGTGCAGAGGACTAAAAGCTGGGGTGAGGGTGGAAGATGGGACTCCATTAGGAAGTTACTGTGGTTATCCAGGCCAAAGAGGGTGGCCTGCACCTGGGCAGGCATAGTGGTGGTGAGAAGGGATGGATTTTGGATATTTTATAGTGATTTTATGTTAAAAACTTCTCTGTATCTACAGAAAAGACAAGAATGGTACAACAAACGTGTGTTTCTTTCACCCACTTTCACTAATTATAAATATGTCGCCATATTTGCTTTCCCCATCTCTATTACTATTATCTGCTAAAGCTTTTGAAAGTAAGTTGCACACATCATAACCTGTTAGCCCTAAATGTTTCTCCTGGAGAAAACAATATCTTTTACATAACCATAGTTATGTAAACCGTAGCCAGACTCCTCTATCCATGGGATTTTCTAGGCAAAAATAACTGGAGTGGGTTACCATTGCCTCCTCCAGGGGATCTTCCCGACCCAGGGATCGAACCGGCATCTCCTGCATTGGCAGACGGATTCTTTACTACTAGCACCACCTGAGAAGCCCCACATAACCATAGTACAGTTATCAAATTAACATTGAGAAATTATCCAATTAACATTGAGAAAAAAAATTCCTGTTTTTCCAGTTGTTCCAATGTCCTTTGTAGCCATTTTTTTCTCCAGTGTGAGATTCAATACAGGATCCAATTCAGGGTCACATGTTACATTTAGTTTTCCTGTCTTTTAGTTTTGCAGTGTGTGCATGCATGCATGCTAAGTTACTTCAGTCGTGTCTGATTCTTAGTGAGCCCATGGATTGTAGCCCGCCAGGCTCCTCTGTCCATAGGATTCTCCAAGCAAGAATACTGGAGTGGGTTGCCATGCACTCCTCCAGGGGATCTTCCCAACCCAGGGATTGAAACCAGGTCTCTTATGTCTCCTGCATTAGCAGGCAAGTCCTTTACCACTAGTGCCACCTGGAGTTTTGCTACTTCAGTTTGGGTTCTCTGATTCTTTTCTTACAATTGGATTACAAGATACATTTTTGGCAGACTTGGGTGTTTTGTCTGTCTTAGGGCACTGGAAATAGACTTTTGAAGGTAGCATCAGAAGGATTTGTTGACAGATGAGATGTGAGGGAGAGGAAATGAGGTTTTGGCATTGCCAATAAGTGAGATACGGGGGAGACTGCAAGAGGGGAGGGACTTTGAGGGGTGATCAGGACAGTTTTATGCACACTGTCTGCAGCCTGAATGCGGAATGTTGCTCACAAGATGTTTGTCGTTGAATTTCATGCTAATGAACTAGGAAAGCAGCCCTCCTGAGCTGGAAAGCCAGCAGTATGCTGGGAGCACTGGGCTTTTTCTGGTTGTAGGTTCAGTCCTGGCTTGGTCTCATGATGTCTTAATTCTGCTCCATGTCTTCCTGTCTGGTGCAGCCTGAGGATGCAGAAAGTCTTCACTACTGCTCTGTATCCTTACCCACTGCAGAGAGGCAGTGGTCCTGCGTCTCATCCTGTAGTAATGCTTGCCCTGTGTATCCCACACTACAAGGGGGTTGAATGGAAAAGTCAGGTTCCAGATAACATATAGACCCACCAGTTTGCGGGATTGGGTGCAGAATCCCTGTTACTGCATTCGTATGGTGAGTTTGCTTCATAAACAACTCAAACCTTCTCTCTCTTTTTAATCTTTTTCTTTTTTTCTTTTAAAGTTTAAGCTCATATCCCAGGCATATGAAGTGCTTTCAGATCCAAAGAAAAGGGACATTTATGACCAGGGTGGTGAACAGGCCATTAAGGAAGGAGGCTCAGGCAGCCCCAGCTTCTCTTCCCCCATGGACATCTTTGACATGTTCTTTGGTGGCGGAGGACGAATGGCTCGAGAGAGAAGAGGTAAATAAAGACGTTAAGCAAGCTCTAGTTTCCAAATTGTATGTGTTACTGGAATCAGGAGGGATCTTGCCTTAAAAGGGTGTAGTTGCAGTGTTTGGGAAATCATTAACTTTAAGTAGTTCATCACTTATCTAGTATCCAGGCTACCCAGAGTCTCTGAGTACAGCTAGTAGTTAATTGCCTGATGCTCTCCAAACCCCACATATAAAGGAGCAGATGGTGAATTCCCTGGTAGTCCAATGCTAAGGATTCTGCCCTTTTACTTTCAGGGCCTGAGTTCAATTCCTAGTCGGGGAACTAAGATCCCCCAAGTGGTGTGCTCCACTCCACCCCACCCCCACAAAGGAGCAAATGGGGGTGAGGAGAAAGGAGGAAGGTCAAGATTACCTTGCCCTCCTTTTCTCTTCTGTTGGGGTCAGACTCCCAGCGTCCTAAGAGCTGTGAATGGCACCTCCTGTGGTTATCACTGATGACTCTGCCAAGAGTACTTGCCTCCTCCCTGAGTCTCCTGACCCGGGTGGGGCCGGTGGGCGCTGTATCTGGCTGGTGTTCTGCCATGTGGAGTGCAGCCTCATTTCCTCAGCCTCCTCAGGAGATTCTCTAGGTAACAAAATTCACCCCTTGACGTTTGAACATCTTGGTAAAAGAAACTACCTTGCCCATCTCTTCAGAATGCATTAGGTCTAGCAGCTTCATCCCCAGAGGGGAATGAGGAACTTAGCTCTTAGCGAATGGCCCCAGGGCTCTGTTTTTTGATTCTGGGGTTTGTTCTTCCGAATTTTTCTCTCTCTTACCTCCTGACAGGCTCTAGGCTGTCACCTCTGACAATTACCAGTGGTCTCTTACAGCCCCCTTCCCCTGTCCAGCTTCCAGTTGGGACTGTTCTTTAGACCTCAAAACCAGATAGGTAGCCAAGGTTATTACAATCCTGAATGAAATAAAAACAAACAAGCTCTGCATTGAAGTTTAAGAAGGGTGTTTTGGTGTCAACAAGAGGCCCCTGGATGAATAAGGCTATACCGATTCTCACATTATAATTGACTTCGGGCTTTAAAACCTTGGCTGTCAATTCTGTGAATATAGTGTGTTAAAAATCACAGAGTGTTTATTAGGCAAAAATCTTTACCCTGTTGTCTGGGTGCATTGCCTGCTCATATAATTGACAATGTGGATGTGATTAAAACCTTTGGGTGTCCTCTTGCCCAGCTCTCTCACTGTCTTGAGATGAACAACTTCACACCCTTAATTAAGTCATCTCTCAAGGTTGACAGCCAATAACCAAGGACAGCATCTCAGTCCTTGAGATGAGTCCTCATCTCGGTCCATCTCTCAGACCTCGAGAGCCGTATGGGCAGCAGAGGGGGACCTGATGCTGTGGGTCCTGAGAGGCTGGGATGGCACCAGAGCAGACGGACGCCCTCCCTGAAGGTGAAAGGGCCCCTGTCCTGGCTGAACAGACAAGACTGCCACAGATGAAAGAGTTTGCAGTCAGTCACAAGTCACAGAAGGGCTCAAAAAGTAAAGGGCATTATGTTCAAGAAAGGGTTTCAGTTGAAGGTCGAGAGACTAACTTCATGTGTCATCTGTAAGAAAAGGTCTCTTTTCATGGGGAGCCTGCTTCACCAGTCTCACTGGTTAACATAATGGGTTTCCTCATTGATCTCTGATTCTCAGATTTCTTCTTAGAAAATGAAGATGGAAAGTCTTTGTGACATCTATAAATGACTGAATAATTAGCTCATAGCTGTAACAGTATTAGTTTTCATATTGGCAGAGGGCCAGAAGGATGGGCCAGGTGTAACAAAAGCTTTGCCTCCCCCAGGGAAGGGAATGAATGACAACAGGCACAGTCTGAGTCTCTGGAGGTTTCATACAACTAAAGGTCATATAGGTGGTATTTAATACAGTGATATATTTGATACAGTATTACTGACTGTTTCTTCTTCTCCTCCATAAGGCAAGAATGTGGTACATCAGTTGTCTGTAACTCTTGAAGATTTATATAATGGAGTCACAAAGAAATTGGCTCTCCAGAAAAATGTAATTTGTGAGAAATGTGAAGGTAAGGATGCATTTCTGAATGAGTCTCATAGTTCTGGTTCCTCAGATCTGGAAACAATTCTTATTGTCTTACAATTCAGAGAAAAACAATTGATCTTTTCAAATATGAAGGTCAGAAATTACAAACAGGTGGCCTGAGGGCCAAACCCATTTTATTTGGCCCTGTTCATCTTTTATTTGGATTGCACATTTATTTAATTTGTTGTCAATTATTTTAAAAATATAGAAATGAAGACAGTTCACCCAGCCCTAGGGGTCAGCACACTTTTGCTGTAAAGAGCCAGATGGTAGCTATTTTGGGCTCTGTGAGCCATACTGTCTCTGTCGTAACCGTTGACAGAGCTATAGACAGGAAATAAGCAGATAAACAGGTGATGCACCTGTGTTCTAATAAAGATTTATTTACAAAACCAGGTAGCTGGCCATAGTTTACAGTCCTTGACTTAAATGTAAATGTAATCAGCATGGGTCTTTAAAATCTAATTTTTCAAGAAACGTCAGATCCGGTGACTTGGTCACACGCTGTCCCATAGAGAAGTGACTGGGCTGGGTAGCCGCTCCTATGGGCAGGGATGTGTTCTCCAGCCTCCACAGTCACGTGTAGGCATGGGTGTTTTTCCACTCTGGGGTGGAAGAAAATAGTTGGTGACGTTAAAGTGATGAATTTGCCTTGGCACAGCCTAAACCACAAATATTTGCGATCACATGTTAATATCTGGATATTGTCTGCTTGGCTAGAATCATCCAGACTCTACCACGTGGCTTTTTATGATTGTGAATAGAATTCAAACCCAAGTGTCCAGTTTCATGGCTCATCACCTTCTGTGGTGGCGTCCAGCAGAGCCTCTTAAGGGAAGAGTACAGCCTTGTTCCTGTCTCCTCGCAGGCATTGGTGGGAAGAAGGGATCTGTGGAGAAGTGCCCGGTATGTAAGGGGCGAGGGATGCAGATTCACATCCAGCAGATTGGGCCGGGCATGGTACAGCAGATCCAGACCGTGTGCATCGAGTGCAAGGGCCAGGGTGAGCGCATCAACCCCAAGGACCGCTGTGAAAGCTGCAACGGTGCCAAGGTCATCCGAGAGAAGAAGATTATCGAGGTGCACGTGGAGAAAGGTGAGGCAGCGCAGCCCTAGCACCCCAGGCTGGCAGAAGTGCGTCTCAGGTGCTGATTGTGGAACACACAGGTTAGGTGTCAGGGGAGGGAGCCACAGCGCAGCTGCTGTTAAGACACCCTTAGTGTGTGCCATCGGCTCTTCCTATCCAAAGCAACTTCTTAAGGTTTTCCAGTGCTCCGGAAGTCATTTGACCTTGATTTTGGTTAATTGCCCTCCCTTGCAATTCTCAAACCATCCTTTAGAGTCATCTGCTAATGACTTTTGTCATGCTCTTGCTAATGTCTTTTGTCCTGCATTGGCCGTGAGAGCTCATGTATGTCTTCACAGCTGTGCGTCCCTTTTGTCCACACATTTCCCCTCTGTTGCAGCAGATTCTCCCAAATCCAGCACCTTCCCCCTGCTATTGACTTTGCCTGGGGGCATCATTTTAAGGGCTTTCCCCCTCTTAGCTATTCCCCTGATTATTTTGTGTCTTTCTAATCCGGAGAATATATTTTAGGTGAGAGATGAGACCAAAGTACCCAGTTCAGTACCCAAACCAACACACAGGTTGGAGGACTTGGCCCCATGCCTGGGTACACACAGAGACTGGTTAGAGCACTGCTTGTGCATCAGAAGCGGATGTGTGCTCACAGTGCGCTGTCAGCTGTGGCGTCGGGGGCCTGAGCAGACAGTCCACGCTTGCGCTGTGCATAAGGTGGTGGCCTCGTCTCCCGTTCTCCCTACTGTGCGTGTGGCTGAGGACCGGGGATGTGTACAGGGGAGTGAGGCCTGTCAGTGGTATTCCTAGCCACCACTCCCAGCCCCAGGCCTGCACAAAGTTGGGAGGTTTGATGAGTAAAGAACCCCGCAAAGGGCTCTGTGAGCCTTCTTCTAAAGCTTTGTTGAAAGTATGGTTTTTAAGAGAAATGGCTAATCAGAAAGGGATGATGTTTCATAGGTATGAAAGATGGGCAAAAGATACTATTTCATGGAGAAGGAGATCAGGAGCCCGAGCTGGAGCCTGGTGATGTCATAATTGTGCTTGATCAGAAGGATCATAGTGTCTTTCAGAGACGAGGCCATGACTTGATCATGAAAATGAAAATTCAGCTTTCTGAAGCCCTTTGTGGCTTCAAGAAGATGATAAAAACACTGGATGATCGAGTCCTTGTTATTACATCCAAATCAGGTAATGTTTCAAATGTGTGTTTCCTTGTAGTTCTTCTGTGTGTTTGGCCCGATGAACCTGGCAACTTAGCTTTGGTTTCACACTCAAGTTTAGTGTGACATGATTTTCTGTAAATTAAAATCATCAGTACAGTCTCGAGAATTTTGTGAATTTCTTTTATAGTCTGCTTGAAAAAAAATTCAGAGTTGGAATCTGTGGGAACCTAAAATTCTACCTGGAACCTGCCAACCTGACTTAAATTTTTAAAAACTTAACTTTTGTATAATAAAACACAGCTGATAATAGGTGGTTTTTTCCCTATCACGTGGTGATCTGTGCTGATTCATCCACATTCCTCTAGCCTCTCTGTTGTCAATTACATATGAGACATTTTAAAATAGAATATTCCTGAAAAAAGACATGGCCTGCCAGCTTACCTTTGGTGGCATCTAGAGAACTGCTTATCTGCACATGTGCACAGGAGCTGGAGGGAGCTGCCTCTGGACCAGAAGGATTCTCACAGGCCTGAGAGCTCAGCCTGCCAGCACATGTCTAGATGCCAGGCTCCCAGCTCCTAGGGGGGCTAGTGCTCGCTGCAGCTAGGGCCTCAGAGCACCTGCCTGGAAGGGGCTGTGGGGAGAAGGGAGAGAGACCAGGCTGGGACACTCGACTCGTAGCTGCCTGTGAACAGCCCTTCAGGTCAGTTGTCCATGTCAAAGAATGTCCAGATGGGTGCGGTGGTGGCTGAGCCACCCAGATATTCTTGACTCCATCCTTGGCCATGAGCAGTGCTGTTCTGGTCCCCTCACTGGGCACAGGGTTATTGGGTTATTGGGGAGTCTTAACTTTTCATGTGGGCATCTGGGATTTAAAGCTAGATGGGATGGGTTCAGGGCTAGGCTTGGAGGTAACCAGCCAATGAGCCTGTCCAACAGCAGTGGAAATAAGCAAGACCCTGCAGTCCAGTGGGGTGAGCCACCTGGTCTCCCCAGCCACCTTCCAGGCCTTTCCTTCCTCTGTATCCTTTTCTCTCTTCCCTTTTCTGGCCTGTTCCCTTTCTCTGCCACTTTCCTCTTTGGCTCTTTCTGTTTCTTCCTTTTCTGGGTATAAATGAAATGGAATTATATACCCCAGTCTTGATCAGAGGTTTTCTTTTGTCTTTTACATTTTATTTGGAAACAAATTCAAACTTAACAAAAAGTTGTGAAAATAAAAGTAGCACGAAGACCACTGATATATGATTTGCCTATTGTTAAAATTTTGCCATTTGATTTTTTGTTGTGTTTGATACTTAAGGATTGAGGAAAAGCACTACACTATAATACAAATATGCATGAAAAACTTAAATACAGCATCTTCCTTTAGATTCCATTTTGTAAGCCTCCCAAGGCACCCACGGAGAAGGCAATGGCACCCCATTCCAGTACTCTTGCTTGGAAAATCCCATGGATGGAGGAGCCTGGTAGGCTGCAGTCCACGGGATCTCGAAGAGTTGGACATGACTGAGCGACTTCACTTTCACTTCTCACTTTTATGCACTGGGAGAAGGAAATGACAACCCACTCCAGTGTTCTTGCCTGGAGAATCCCATGGATGGGGTCACACAGAGTCGGACACGACTGAAGTGACTTAGCAGCTTAGCAAGGCACCCAATTCCTCCCCTCACTTGTATAGGAAAGTTTGAGGATTGTAGTTTGCACAAAGCCCTAGATTGTGAGTGGGTGTGTGCCCAAGACCCCTGGTATCATGTCCAGCGTCCCCTAACATTACCTCAACCCTGATTCTAGTCCTTCTGGGAATAGGAGCTGGGTGGCATCTTTGGGATGCTGTGTGACTTCTTTGGGAAAGCTCATCCTTAGCCGAACTCCCTGGAGCTGGGGCCCGTGCCATGGGATGGGAGCCCAGGGCTCCTTGCTGCCTCCCAACTAATCCCAGCCACAGGGAACCTGGAGGCCAAGGACAGAAGAGAGGAGGCGAGCCCCAGAGGGAGAGAAGTGGTGAACCCTGAGAAACCCATTTCTTTGCTTAGTTACAAGGGCAGGGTGTCCGGAAAACCTCCTGCTGGAGATTTCGCCTGTGTTTTTTCTTTCTGCCCATTTATATATATTTTTTGAGTCCTTTTCTTTTCAGCTCTTCTGTTGTTTTGGCTTATTTATCTTTCCTTCATTTCCTCTTCCTTCTTTTGCTATTATAGTGCCTTCCTTGCTAGAGCCCCTTAGGCTGTCTTGAAAATGGCTGAGAATCAGATCAGAGAAAAACGTGCCTTAAGAGCTTCAGCAGGTTGTGACCCCCTGACTGAAGGCGGATCTGTACCTCACAGAAGAGCCAAGTCATCCTCTTTTCCCTCTCTTACATGTGGCTGTCCATACTTGGTCCCAGGGCTTCCTTGCCCACAGTGAGTTAAAGCAGAAGCCTGAGGAGCTGTGCTGAGGGCAATAAGAAGTGACACCTGATAGGAACAGAGAGACAGAAAGCTATTTAAAAACAAAACGAAAACCATAACAAGCCTAGTAGCATGGGGCTGCTTGGCTAAGGCTGCCATCGGCAGCTCTAAGGGCCCTGTGAGCCACAGCCCTGTGCTGAATGACCCTCAAGGAGAGAGTCCTCCACACGCTTTATTTTGAAAAATTCCCATGAGATACTTTAAAAGATTTCCTCTGGAGAGTGTTCATCCAGGGGAGTAGGGTGCTGACTAAATGAGTGTTTGCACTGCTCCCCCCCTTCATATTTTTCCTGAGTATTTATTTCTTTACCCATTTTCATTACTGAGCTGAAAAGCATCCTTTTTTTTTTTTTTAAAAAGAAACCCTTTTATCTCTCTTCATATTTGGAAGGAAAAAATATTTTTAGATTTGGGGGTAAACCAAGTGCTCTGGGGGTGCTGAACTCCCATGATACCTTCTGAAAAAGTGTAGAAATGTAAGACCCAGCAAGTGCAAGCCGGGTCAGTTCTGGCCCACGGGCATGTGAGGAGACCCCTGTGCCTTTTGAGCTCCCAGCCCAGGAAGCTGGCTCTCCTGCCGGGCTCCTTCGAGGCTGATTCCTGCTCTAAGCTCTGCTCGAGTCTGTGAGGAGGAGAATCTCTTCCCACTCATGGGAAAGTCATTTGTAATATCTGAAAAGGCAGGCTAACACAATAGCCCTGTTTTCCCAAACTGAGTGTTGATTCCTAGTTCATGTTTTTAAACCTGCTTTATGATGGAGGCTCCAGCCCCTTCTCCTTGGATACACTGCAGGAGCCCAGCGCATGGATCAGAGAGGGTCCCACTCCCACCCACGTCTCATCCCCTTCACCCAGCCGGTTCCTCTGACAGGGACCATTCTGGCTGGGGCCAGCTTTCTAGTCAGATGACTCCTGCCTTAGCCTGCTGCTGTGAGGGTGCTCCGGCCTGCCCCAGGCTCCAGGTCATTGTCCATCTTCCTATTTCATAAGTAAACCTTTTTTGTGTGTGTTTGTGACAGGTGAGGTGATAAAGCATGGGGACCTGAAATGTGTGCGTAATGAAGGAATGCCAATCTACAAATCACCTCTGGAGAAAGGGATTCTGATCATACAGTTTTTAGTAAGTGCCTGTGTGTGTGTGTGTGTGTGTGTGTATGTGTGTGTGTTATTCTCATGGGACATAGAATTAAATGCCTTAGGGATTCTGATCATACAGTTTTTAGTAAGTGCCTGTGTGTGTGTGTGTGTGTGTGTGTGTATGTGTGTGTGTTATTCTCATGGGACATAGAATTAAATGCCTTAGGGATTCTGATCATACAGTTTTTAGTAAGTGCCTGTGTGTGTGTGTGTGTGTGTGTGTGTGTGTGTGTGTGTGTGTGTTATTCTCATGGGACATAGAATTAAATGCCTTAGGGATTCTGATCATACAGTTTTTAGTAAGTGCCTGTGTGTGTGTGTGTGTGTGTGTGTGTGTATGTGTGTGTGTTATTCTCATGGGACATAGAATTAAATGCCTTAGGGATTCTGATCATACAGTTTTTAGTAAGTGCCTCTGTGTGTGTGTGTGTGTGTGTGTGTGTGTGTGTGTGTGTGTGTGTATGTGTGTGTGTTATTCTCATGGGACATAGAATTAAATGCCTTAGGGATTCTGATCATACAGTTTTTAGTAAGTGCCTCTGTGTGTGTGTGTGTGTGTGTGTGTGTGTGTGTGTGTGTGTGATTCTCATGGGACATAGAATTAAATGCCTTAGGGAAGGGAAGAAACAACTCTCTTTCCCACCTCACCCTTTACAGGTTATTTTTCCTGAAAAACACTGGCTTCCCCAAGACAAGCTTTCCCAGCTGGAAGCTCTGCTCCCGCCTCGGCAGAAAGTCAGGATTACAGAGGACATGGATCAGGTGGAGCTGAAGGAGTTTAATCCCAACGAGCAGAACTGGCGCCAGCACAGGGAGGCCTATGAGGAGGACGATGACGGGCCGCGGGCCGGAGTGCAGTGCCAGACGGCATGACGCGGCCCTGTGCAGCGTGGCCTGGCAGGACTAGCACATCATGAATGTAAAGTTGGCACAATGAAAAATGGCATCGCTTTAAATGGCCTCGTGTTTGGGGTGTCCTGTGTATGTGTTCAGCATTCTCAACTGCTGAGTGTCTTTTGGTTTTTCTTTTGGTTGTAACTTAAGTTATGGCTTAATTTATATTTAAATGTTTTAAGTGTAAATCACCTCTAGTCTGCATATGGAATCTGTTTATTTACATTTTCAGGATATTTTTGAGATGCCAGTGAACGCACTGACACTTTGTGCTTCTAGTGGCTTTGCCATAATTCAGTTCCACCAATAAAGCACAGCGCAGACAGTAGCACTCAGCCCCTGAGCAAACCTCCAGGCTCGAAGTGGGTGACCTGGCCCATGTCCAGCTCTGCAGTTTCTTCCCCTCTGCACCTGCCTCCCAAGGCAGAGTTATAGAGGGCATGATCTCAGGGCTGCTAATGTGACATTCTGAATCCAGATTCCAGATGGTTCTCCTCAAGAATAAAAGCACATCTGTGGGCTGGATTTGGCTGCAGTGCCTGGCTCACACTGAGTGGGCTGCAGGGCCAACTTGGTTCCTGCTGTCTTATGCCCTTGAGTGTTTGGAGTGGGGTGGGTCTGATCCTCTCTCTTGGAAGCTTCTTGAGCCTTCCAAGCCTTGTGGTGAGGACAAACCAGTGTTTTAAATGAAACACTGATAAAACTATTTGCCTGCAACCCCTGCACCTTGCCTTTTGTTGTTTTCTGTTGACAGCATTTGTAGTGCTGTCCCACCAAAGTGCTTACTTGTAAAGAAAAGGAAACCATCCACATCCCCAGCAGCCTTAGTGCAGCGACAGAAGCCGCAGGAGATGCTGGTGGCTCAGCCCCGTGGCACAGCCAGTTTCCCTGCCTGACCAGTGATCCTGGATGACGTGAGGCTCTGGGAAGGCAGGGGACATCTCAGTGTTTTCCACCTCATTCTCCCAGATTCAGCTCCCTTCCAAAGGATGGATGGTTCATCTCCTTGCACAGCCATATCACAAAGGGCTTCCTGCTCAAGGGATAAAGTTTTAGTGAGAACTTAAAAGTTCTACTCTGGACCGCAGTCTGTATGGACTACCACTGTAAATGATAACTTGTTTGGAAAGATATTAATTACTTGTTTACTCCTGGCAAGTAGACTACAATATAAATTTAGATTCCTCAACCTTCAGCCATTACTGCTCCTTTCCTTCCCGTAACAGTCACAAAGAAAAACTGCTGCCTTCTCAGCTGCTGGGTTAAAGCAGAGGCCACTTTTCAGATCCACCCTTACTTGGTCATACAGTGCCTGCAAGTCTGACTCAGACCGGGGACCTCCCCAGGAGGCCCGAAGGGCAGATCAGACCCACGGCAGCAGGTTTAGCGGGTGGACCAGACTCTAGCAGAACACTGCTGGCTGGTGGGTGGTCATAATTTACTCAAGATAGGTACAGAAGGAGTCTGCCTGCCCCACTTTGACCATTAGTCAGGAAAGAAGGAAAATCTATTCTTCCAGCTAAGCCTGTATGAAAATCAGTTTACAAATGGACCACAACTCCAGGGTGTTCTGTTTCTGTGCTGTGACTTCCTAAAGAATTATTGCCAGAAAACTACTGTAGTTGATGATAAGGCAAAATTGCATTCAGCTCCTTGTCATGTAAATGGGATCTGGAGGGTGTTGCTTAAAATTTATTCCACCTGTACATTTGTCACTTTAAAATTAAAATTGAGCTGGTATGAGACAGATGGTTTTGTTTTTATTTCTTTACTTAGTTTTATTTCCAATGACCAGTGCTAAGGTGCCAGTTTGCCTCATATTGGTTGATAAAATGGAATGAAGTTTCTGCTCAGGAGCTTATATTTGGGGTGGGGATAAATACATCAGGCAATGATGACTGCAGTGACAAATGAGAATAATGGGACAGGGACCAGGGGAAGGCCTCTTACTGGGAGCAGACACCTGAGAACAACCTGAAAGCAATGAGACCTCTGAAAGTCAGGAAGGAACATCTGAGGAAGGCAGAGGGAATGGCCAGGGCTATGTGGCTATGATCTCGGGTGGCCTCAGGCTGCAGCATCTTAAAAGCGGGGCTTGGGTTCCCAGAGATTGAGGTCGGGTCATGGCAGGGAGAGCACCGAATCCTAACCACTGGCCCAGAGGTCAGGGAAAGGGGCCCTGGCCCTTTGGCTTTGCAGAAAAGAATTTACACAAAGACAAAAAGCAGTAAAGCAAGTAAAAAGTGTGTGTGGGGGGGGGGGCGGGGGGGGGCAGTATAGCATGTGTAGATAGATACATGGGCAGACTCAGAGAAGAGTCCCTGAGTTGCACTCTCCTGACAGTCTGAATGCCTTTTAAAGGGCATTTTTTTTCTGGGTTTCCTTTGGCCAGTCATTTAGATTTGCCCAGTTCACAGTCCATATTTGGTGTATCTCAGGATCTTCCTCTGTGTGTGCACACATCTCTTAGTCAAGATGGATTCTACTGAAGAGGCCTATGGGTACAACATCCCTTGGCATCAGTCCCCTTTGACCTCCAAGGAGCCTTTCTGTGAGTATGTGGTCAGGGAGGTCTCCTGACTTTGAGAATGAGAACTATGCGGTATGACCAGGGCCCAGCTTCCTCCCTTAATTATCCTGCTCTTCTTGTCTTGGGAGTTTCGGTCCACAGGGAATGAATTTCCAATTGCTTTACTCTGGTTGGGCGCCAGTCTACCTCCTGCTTCAGCTATAGGAGGGTGAACAAGGCAGAGGCAGAAGAGGAAAGAGAGGATGGGCTTGATTTAAGGGTTATGGGGAGTCTGGAGGAAAAGCATGGGACCTGACATGAAGCATATGAAGTTATTATGATCAGTAAAAAGCAACAAACTTTGGAGTGTTAGCTACTTACACCTTTCCTGTTACATGCAGACCATGTCTCAAGTGGGCCACTGAGAAAACAGGTATAGGAGCTCTGGGATAACTGAGGGAGGGCTGGAGGTCAACCAGAGTAGATACAGGCTTGAGCCTACAAACAGTATTAAGGCAACAATACTCACTGCAAGTTGCAGGCTTCTCTAAAGTTAACAGGATGAAAAAGAGTGTGGCACGGGGCATTTTTAATCTACCAAATAGAAGAATGCTCAGAAAGGACTGAAGAATCTTCCCACCCAGTCAAATAACCTGTTTCTTTCAGGATCACATTCTAAAATACATTAGCTTCCTATCACAGCCTCTGCATGGCTCATCCCCTGGAAGAATGAGCCTAAATCTCTATACTGGAAAGTTTAGTACGTGCCTGGATGTCCTCATTCCTGAGGCAATACTCAGTCAACTCCAGTAAGATGACAACTCCTCTTACTGTTCTATCAGTAACAGGGCAAATGAGAAAGAAGCATGTTGAAGAACATGAGTGTTTGCATTAAGAATACTTTATGTTAAAGTATGAATGGCATTTCCAATAAAACATGAAAAGATTTACATGTATCTACAAAATTTAAGTTTTTGATAAACCTTTTAATAAATGCTATATTAACAAGCTAGAAAGGTAAGGAATGTCATGATCAATCTATACATTCTCTCTGCAGCATTAGCCTGGAAGATGTTGATGTTTAAATGGGACAATCATAGATGTGAATTTCCTGGTCATCTCCAACAGACACAATTTTTGAGCCATTTCCATTGTATTTTACTCCCCAGACCTGTAAATAAAGAGAAAAAGTTCTACTAAACCTTTATTCTTTATGAATACCTTACCCTTACCCTACTCTCATTATACTGAATCCAGAAAAACACTGATATGAGGATATTTCCATGCTTTCTCAACAGTGAGAATGGGGTTTTTCCTTTAATCAGGCAGCTTCTATTACTACTGTTTAATTATCATCACTCCCAACTCCAGATAATTCATTTCTAAACATAAATCAAGGTATTTACAAACCTTTCAAAGACTCACAATTGAGGAAGTGACCTATTGTGAAGATGGAACCCATGAGGGACCAGCATGGGTTCTCCGGTCTCCGGGAAGGAAAAGGCCCCACAGCTACTCTGAGCTCACCGCCTACAGGGATAACAGCAAACTGTGCTCCTCGTCCACCTGCTTGTGCCCACAACTTACGTCAGTAATTCTCACTCTCTTATTAGAGGCCTATGAAACCTGCCTGTCCCCAGGAGCTAGATAACTTGGTATTGCATGTCACTGATTTCATTTGCTACATGTTGAATTAACAGATTCACACCTCCTTCCCAGACAGAAACGATATGGTAGGAGATTCATCAGGTCAAGCCTGTCACTCTATCCCTGAGGTGGGTGTTCCAGCTCTGACTTCAGTGCTGTGAGCAGGCCAGCTGATGGCTTTATTTCCACTCCAAATGTCTCCCTCTGAGGACCGCACCACACACTGACTCTCTCACACAAAGCAACACAGCCAGCCTGGACTTCCTTCCTGAGTACAATATTTAAATCCCGGAGTGGAATGTCAAGATTAAATCCTCTCAACTTCATGGGCAACAATGTAAAATTAAGTGTAAAAAAGCATGAACATTTTTTAACTTTAAAATGCATTCCAAAGAGATTCTATGAGATGACCCTAAGAACATACAAACTACATAATTAATAAAAGATGACTTTATACTGCCATGGGCATTTTATTTTTTATACTGCTCCCCCAAGACCCTTGCTATTCAAAGTTGTTGGAACTAGCAGTGCTAGTCTCACCTGAAGGTTGGGACAAAAACTCAGGCCTAGGCCAGACCTACTGAATCTGTATTGTTACCAGATCCCCAGGGTACATTAAAGACTGAGAAGAAGCCCTGCCCTAGAATGCCTTAACATTTCACATTCATCTCACAGGAAGACTCCTGTGAGAACACAGCCTCTTTTTCCTAATTTAAAGGCTGAAATAAAACTTAGCAATATCTTTAAAGTCAAACAACCTACTAACAATTTCCGGCTTCAAGTATATTCAAAGAAAAAAAAAATCACATCACTTTTTTGGGCA